CTCTTTTACCTCCTCAATCCAAGAACAAATACACTTATTTTAAGAAAAAATAACTTACCTAGATTCAGATTTTTTTGCACTACTGCAACCGATAAAACTCTTAATGCTCCAAATGTCCATATCAATGTTTTTTTGCACCATCTTTTTTCTCCCACACTGTTTACATTTGATCACTGTTGCACTTTTAATAGAAATGTCATGAAAGCTGTACAAGATAAAATTTACAAAATGACAATAAAAGATGTCTAAGACTTTCATAAGCTGAGGTCATATACATTTCAATCTGAAAAACTCACACAAAGAGAAAAGACAATTAGAAGAAAATTATTGATACTTGGTCTTTGGCGCTCAGACCTCGGCAGGAAACATAGCGCTGAATTTTGATAGATATACATGACAGGAGTAAAGAATAGGGCTGTTTCCCCCAGGCCTGAAACTGGTGGTGGAGTGGAGATAGTTTAAGTTGGTCAGTCTGTAGACTGCTGGTTAGCGAGACGGTCTGCTGAGCTTTATGGGGAGATCTAGTAGACTGCGTGAGCTGATACTAGAGCTTCACTTAGGGACCTGGAAGATGGAAGTCCAGTTTAGGTAACACAAGTTGAGAGAACCTGACCATGATGAGCAAGCATGAAGCGACAGTGGAGAGGAAAAGCTCCCTGTTGGGAGGAAACCTCTGCCAGAACCAGGCTCAACATGGCGGTTTTCTGCCGGACCGGTTGAAATGAAACGCGGAATGCAGTAAGAGCCTGGGAGGAATGATACTCTGATGAAGCTTTAGCTACGATGGTGGAGGAGGGGCTAGAGGTGGGTTGAAACGGGGTCATCTGAATGAAGTCACACAGCGCAACCACCGCTTACGAGTAGGTAGCAGACGAGTTGCGGATCCGAGGCCTTTTGAGATTAACTTTGGATGCCAATTGGTTTTTGGGGAGGTGTGGTTCAAAGCTGATTGGCTGTGTCGTAGGTGGATGTAGGAGAGCAATCAGTTTCTTCAGTTGAACTTCCACCTAGGCTCCATAAAACAACATAATACATGCATGACTTAATACATGCATGTACAGCCTAAAGTTTACAATAATTTCAAACATTAACTTAATAAATCTTGCAACATGAAAACAGGCATGCATCAGGTTTTTATGACAAATTAAGAGTAGCCCAGAATACCAACAGCATTTACTCTAGATGATGAACCTGCATAAATAACAACTTAATGAAATACCCAACCCAACCAAAACATGTAGTGTTTTGAGGATTCAATGAGGAAGCTTAGCTTGAAAGAATTTAAACCTGCATCTAAAACAGCTGTAAACAGATTAATTACACAGCAGTGGTTCATTAAAAGAAAAAAATAATTCACTGTCAGTCGACGGGCACTTTTAATTAACTGTTTGTTTTTACCAAATATTAACCCAAACAGTGGTTTATGAAAATATTCTGCTATCATTAAGAACAGTTATAAACATTTTAGATATATCAGATTTTTTTTATTAGATTATCCACATCATTTTTTGAGAACAAACCTTTAATCTTTAGCATTCTTATAATTGTTAGTCAGGTTTAAACGCTACAAGACTATGAACTAAGTGTCTAAAGGCTGATGGTGAAGCTTGCAAAGTGGCTAAAAGTTAAAACATTTAAACATGTCATTACATGCATTTATACTCTGCAAGGTTTTAAACACTCATTATATTAATAATAATGTCTGACATCTGATTTGGTTGCTACATAGATAGGGATAAAGGTATCACTAATGGCTCCTAATGCAAAGTCGATTCTTCTAACTGATTCTGCCTTTGTTTTTGACAGATTTATATGAAGAACCTGAAAAAGAGGTAAAGTACTGTAACCTCATTGTCTGTTCTATAAATAACAAATATTCCAGCAACATAGGAAACAGAATTTATTTTATTTTTTTTAACCTTTCTGCAGAAGTCACCTTCACCTCCCCAGAGAAACAGGTCAGTATCAGACTTTATTGACGTGGTTGTAGATACATTGTTTATGCTATTTAGGATGCTTAGGGTGATGTTATCTTTTACTCCACACGCAGCATTTTGCATCATCTGACCAGTACTGTCGCAGTTGGATATCTTTATTTTTCGTATGATAAATTAAACGGCAGTAAGTTTTTTATCCAAAGCTTTCTGATATTGTCTGATAATCTATCTCCACTTTAAATTAATCCACTTTATCCCCAAACTTAATGGTTTGTTTGTCAACTAATAAATAAGCTGTATTTTCATTTAGACCTAATATGAGACAGGTTGGCTTTATACAGATAAGTTACCGTTTCATGCTATAAGATGGACAATTTCTTATAGGAATGCCATCGTAAAGAGGCTGAAATACAAATACATACAGTATTCTGATTTCGATTTGATCGATGCAATTTTAATTAAATGCATTGAAGGTTTTGTTTATGTTCCAAAATGTAAATAAAGGGATTGAATACTTTTGCAAGGTGCTGTGTACATTCTTGTCTTTTTTCTTTCATGTAATTCTGTTTGGTTTTTTTCCCCCTTTTACTTAATAGACTAATTTAATCAGCTTGGCTGCTAACATTATCCAGAACTGTAAATATATATTTCAGAAAAGTATTTCTCTTTCTGTCAGAAATCAATTTTCTATTTATAAAACCTTTTCTCAGGGTTTTCTATCAGATTTCAACAAAGATTTATGTTTATGCAGTTTTATATAGAGACTTTATATTATTATTATTATTATGTCTTGTTACAGCCTCTATTTTCAATATATGTATTGGATTTTATAGACCAACACAAAATGGTCCATAAATATGAAAAGAAAGATTTTTTTTTCCTCAAAGAAAAATCTAAAAACTCTATGAAGATATTAGAGGCTCCAGAAGAAGTAAGAACAGGGCAGAGTTTCAATATCTAATAGATCAGCATCTCTATGCATTCAGCCAGAGCTACAGCAGAGGGGTTTAGATCATTACATTTTATTGGTGTCAATCTAACTTTAAAAAATAACAATTTATATTTTATTCTTTTCTGAGACTGACGGGTTAAAGTGCAGTAACTTTTTAATTAAACTGCGAGATAATGATCATCATCCTCCCAAATTGCATTGAAAGAAGATAAATGAAAATAGAATATTTTATTTGCCTTATCAGTGTTGTTTGACTGTTTCTTTGTTGAAAAGGAGGTACAGTTAATTAGTTTTATTATTAATATTGATTTTACATTAAGTTTTGGATACTTTTACTGCAAGAAAATACATCGTGGAAATTATGAAGAGGAATTTTAATGAATGACACAATTTAGACTGTTTTATTTTACCTATGAGTCAATGCATCAGAATAAACCACTTTAAAAGTAGGAAGGTAGTTCTAATATGTTTGGATTGCTGATTCATTTATATTTTTGGGGTTTTCTTTTTTTTAACATAATGGTTTTAAATATAAGTTGTGTGACCCCTGAGCTTTTGGCCTTCAGTAGATGTGCACAGGAAAAAATCAAAATCTAGATAAGCAATTTTTTCTTAAAATAAGTGCATTTGTTCTTGAACTGAGGAGGTAAAAGAGACTTTTTACCAATGCAACAAGACAATTTATATTTAAAATAAGAAAACACAATTTCATTGTCTTATTTGAAGTGCATATTATCTTATTACCTTATTTTAAGAGTAAAAAATACTCATTTGATTGGCATATTATCTGATTTATCTATTAAAATCAAGGATAAATACACTTAATTTAAGATTTTTTTTACTTATTTCTAGATTGTTTTTCCAGTGTGGACCCCTGAGTAACTTCCCATTTATATATTACTTTACAATTGAAGGTTTTTAATGGAAAAAAATAGGAATTTCTAGAGTTATGACAAATGTTTGCTTGAAATGCTTGTAGTTTTAAGTATTTTTTTTTAAAGCATAACTCCTTGTTTGTCTTATAGAGACGAAAACCATAAAAATCTCCTTTCTTCTTTTGTAGATTTTGTCCGCCTCCTTCCAAACAGTGTCCTTCCGTACCAAAACCCAGCCCAAGGTAGGAACTGTTCAATCTGAAAACATGTCAGACTCGTTCAATTTTTTTATTCTAAAATGAAAATTTCATTACTAATACTTCATATATGAATATCTCTCCTCACAGGCTCAACAACTGGGGATCCACCCTCTCTGTATGTTTTTATCAGATGTTAAATAGTAGATCTGAAATTCTAGACTGTGCAGAAATTGGAAACAAACTGCATGTCTGCATATTTCACAGGCCCAGCAGCCCACAGACGATGATGAATATGAACTTTGTGATCAAGATAACAGTGAGTATTGGTTCAAAAGAGAAACTTGTGGGGAAAAAAGGCATTTAAAACCATGCTTTGAGTTAATTGAGCTTGCTGTGATATAAAGAAGCCATTTTGTAAAAGTAAAAAGGCACTTTAAAGACAACGGTGTGCTTTGATCTCTCATAGGTTCCAATCATAAACCTCCAGGTGGTCCTCCCCCGCCTCGTCTACCAAAGCCAACTCCAAGAGAGTAAGCATGGCTTACCCTGTAGCACGTCATTATGGTTTACTAGACGCATATTGATCTGTTGTTATATTTACAGGAGGTCACCAAAGCCGCCTGTATTACCGGTAGGAATGCGTTCATATATTAATAACCTAATAAAGTCCTGTAGACAAAGCTTTAATTGGTGGACTGCTGTTTCAATAGGATTCCCAATAATAAATTACTTTTTTAATTTCTAATGTTGATCACTAATGATGACTTTTATTGCAGAGGCAAGATTTGAAACCAAGACAATTTGAAAGTAAGTCATTTAAAAAGAAGATTTTTAAAGAGCCGACTATCTTTATCCTATCACCTCACATGGATTAATTGCTTTTAGTTTATTCACAGATAAATAGTTCACTAAAAAATGTGCGGCATGCCTTTTTATTCAGTTCTCCTTATTCTGATATCCCAAAATGAAATGAAGTCCAATCAAGTCCGTTTACAAAACATCAAGAAAACTTAACTTTTCCCTGTAAATCATGTATATGAGCGATTTAGTGTTTGACTTATACAGAAAATATAAAGGCTATATATGAAGGCTTTAATACATCTGCAAAGAATTGTCCATGTTTATTTTTGGAAGCCGTCTTCATGCTAATTACTAAGACGAAACGTGGCTAATTTCAGGATGTCTGTGTTTCCTAAGGTGCCTCCCTGCCTTTGATGCACTCTGAACCGAAACCACCTCCAAAAGCTTTCTCCCTGGATCAAAAGCGACCAAAGTAAGTCAGGAAACACACAATTTTATGATGAATTAAAGCCTTCAATCCTGTCTTGCTGTTTATTTATTTACGGCTGTTTGTTTGTATATCTTTTGCTGCAGAATCCCTCTTCCACAGATTACACCACCCAGTAGGTTCTGCTCCTCTTTCCTGTTCACCGTCATTCACACTCAGTTTATGTTTAAAATCAACTGATGCAAGTTCCTCTGTTTTGTATCCCAGAACCAGCTGAGAAGGGGAGCACTGCATCAGAAAATGCTTCAACAGACCAAGATAAGGTGTGCTACTCATTTATAATCTCATTTATATAGGGAGGAATAATCTCCAATGTTTCAGCTAAGCAACTGATTCTATTTCAGGATGGTGATGTTTACAACAAACCCTGGTTTGCCAGCACATGTGACCGCAAGACTGCAGATGACGCTTTATTGCGATCTAACATGGTATGAATGCTGATTCATGAAGTGGATGAAAATACGTGTTTGTCGGTAAAGCTGTTAGGCTTAATCATGAGCGTTTTCTGTTTTAGGACGGAGCTTTCCTGGTGAGAAAGAGCTCTGGTCAGGATGTGCAGCAGCCCTACACGTTAGTGGTCTTTTACAATGGAAGAGTCTACAACATCCCAATACGCTTCGTGCCGAGCACAAGGCAGTATGCTCTGGGAAGAGAGAAGAAAGGAGAGGAGGTACAGCTTAGACTATTAAAATATTTACATTTGTACGTTTAATAATAGAAACAGGTTATTGTTTATGTAGTAACATTCAGAAATATATACCCTAGTACACTTCTATTTGGGTAAATGTCATATTAAGTTGT